GATATTCATCTTAGAGTTTTCACCATTTACTTTTGGCGTCGACATTACTTGACAGTCACAAATAGGATCGGATTGTCTACTAATATAATAGCTATGTTAACCATCAGTCTCAACTGTTCTTTAATTACTAATTCGATTTCGTTAGATATTCTTTGCTGAAAAGAATACGAACAGCAAGTAGATTTTTATTCCATGAGTATAGATCAATTTATTTTTCGATTGATTTATCCTTAATGTGAATAGATCCGCAAAAAATTGTTGTGTGGCTGATAGATCGATGATTTGATTAGAAAAGTTTATTCAATATTATTTGACGAAATCAGATGTAGTTGATCTGCAATGGATATTGCAGCTCGTCTGCCAGTTAAAAAAGCACTATGAACACATCCATGCGTGGAATCATCGGTACCATCATTGACATAAGTGTGTTCACCAGCCCAATGCAATCGACCATCAGCTGTCTCTCTAGCCAATAATTCGACAGTGTGCTGGTTCGAATGTACTGCAAAGTTTGAATAGGAACCGAATGACAAAGGATCTTGAGACCATCGGGTAAATTTATACTTGATAGGGTCTGGTACGACTGATTGAGGAAAAATTTGTCGAAGAAATACCATCACATGTGAAACTATCTCACTATCACTGACACTCTCTAGTTCACGAGCACTGATACCTGATATTAGAAGAATGACAATATTTGCGGGTGGTGGCAGACATACAATATAATGAAAGCGACTTCGTGGTTCGTTGCATGTGCGAAATACAGTTATTGTAGTTAAATTCCAGAAACAATTAGAGAATTGTAGAATACATTTATTTAACAATCCAAAGCCCATTTGAGCAATGGCCTCACGTTTCCATTCGGGCAATGAAGGTTCAAATAAAATAGTCTCTCGTTTCAAACAACCCAGCGGAATAGTGATCAGAACACGTCGACAAGAAATCGGAGAATTGACGTCTGATATATTAACGATGATTCGATCAGAATTACGAGTATCAATGTGTGTCACGAGTGTGTTCAGTCGAATGGGCAATTTATGTTGATCGACGATGTATTCGAGAATCGTACCATAACCGAACGATACCCATTGGTCACATCTAGCATTCTCCTTAGGAGTTTTCCATTGTTTAGCCGAAAGATCAACAGAATCTGACGCTTCATACACTTCTATGTCGGCAAGAAAACAATCTACAATCTGTTTGATATGTCCTTCAGCTTCAGCTAGTCGTTCATAATCAGACTCAATCACCTCCTCGATACTTCGATCGTTTTTTTCTTCAGTGTTGGAAGCAAATTTCTCCAAACATGTAAAAAATTGTTTATAAATCGTATTGGCCTGTTGCTCAAATTCGAGTGACAGTGGTTTCCCATCATAATCAACATTAAGCAGATGCTCTTCTTCGTCATTCTCTGAGCCAAATGGTGCCACTAGTTTACATTGCTGGTAATAGGAATACATTGGATTATGTGGTCCATAAAGATGAATCCAACTGGCACCAAGGTCGACAGGAGTCGGTGCGAAGGTTTCTCGATCTGTATAAGCACGACCACCAGCACGATTCCTCGCCTCGAGTACGACAAATGATAAGGAAGTCTTTTGTAGTTCTATTGCCGCCGCAATGCCTGCTGCACCTGCACCAACAATAATAACATCGAAATCGACACTCATTCGCTTGACGTCTTGCAAAAAGTTTTTTTTTTTGATCTTTTAACAAAAATAAAAAAATTCATAGCACTGCCTGATCCAAGATTTCCGAAACCCTGGAGAAGACTGTAGAAAACTCAATAAATCTTAAAAATCCTTGAGACATCTTTAGAACAATATAAAAGCTGAGGAATTATGCAAAATCTGGATAAAATTAAAGTACTGCGAGTTCATGCGATGATTAAAAGTCTCAAAAAGATGTAATGCATGGAACAAACATCTTGTAAAAGTAGAATATCTGATTTAGACCGGAGGTAAGAATTGTCATACGACGAAATACCTGAGTCAGAATGATAGTGATCAACTCCTACACTAATAAACTCAGTTTAAAGTAAGACTTATCGAGCTCATTCATAAAATTGATGGGATATTCTATATGAATTAAAAGGAAATCGATCGACTTTCTCGACATCATTTGTGTTTGCTGAAAGCAAACTAATATTTGAAAAGGAAGAAAAAAAAATTCGAAAACAGCATTAAATAACCAAAACTTGTAGGATTTCAAAATAGAAATCCTCTTTTCAGGATTTTTACATTGCTTTCAAATAATCAAATGAAACACTTGAAAAAATAATTTTGACGATGCAATGATCATTAGGCTTAGCTAAATTGTAAAGAAATGTGCAGATTAATTCATTATAGTACTATTAAAACAACTTTTTGTTAACCCTTGAAGGATTTATGGAGCATTCAGAAACGATTGAAGGGTTCATGATCAGAAGTATAAAGGGTGGGCCAGAAGTCCTGACTCGATTTGTGTAATACATTTTTCTATGTTAAAACGCACGTTTGAAAATTTGTCTCTATGATAGAAAGATGCAGTAAAACACACTCTACAAAATGGTCTATGATTGACCTCTCTAACGCATACAGTAAGAAAGTTATAAGCTTAGAAATATGCTTCACAAAAAATAAAACTTAACCGCGAACTTTCAGCTCACCAGCATAATCACTTTAAAGTCATAATATAATTAATTTGAGATGTCTGATGATCTTCATCTTGTTAGCTCATCGTATTACTGTATTTGGGATCTCTTCCTAGATCTTAGTGCATTTTTTATCCAGGTATTCAATATATATTTCCATCTGTGTGTATTCACTTTGTGTATTCTGTATCTCTATGTTCGTACTATCCTTTCCAGGCCTTGTTAATCACTTTCTCTTTGTTTTCATGATATCTATCTCTTTTGTATTTATGTATTTGCTCGCCACTCCGTTCTATAAATAGACTGATTTCAGTGTAAACAAAGTATACAATAGTCTATAAATTTCTTACATTGTATAACAAGATGTCAAACACGTCTACTCTGGAGGAGCAGTTTTGTGGATTCGTTCTTTCTCTGAAGGAAATGAATCCCACATGGATGGCATCCAACATCGCTGACGAAATACAATCTTATGAAAATCCACCTTCGTTACGTCGTGATGCATTAAGAAGAAAAATAAATCGAATATTACAACGGGGAACAATGAAAGATAGATCACGATGCGGTGCACCAAGAACTGTTCGGATAGAACAGTTCAAAAAAAAAAGTAAAATGATTAATACATTTAAAAAAACGTCAAAGTCAACGAAAGGTGGTTTTTGATTTACAACATACAAATATTCAAAGTAAAAGAACATTCGTTCGAAGAGCAATTGAAGAATTAAAACTGAAACCATTTAAACTGAAAAAAGCACAAAAGTTAATAGCATCCAACAAACAACGACGTGTTACTTGTGCGAAAAAGTTAATACGAAAATTTGGTGCAAGAAAAAATGGCCCGAAATGGGAATGGAACAAAATTGTTAATACTGACTTTTCAGGAATATTTACAATTGAAGGTTTTCACAATAGCAAAAATGTTGTGATTTATGTTGAAGATTCTTCTGAAATTTCTGCTAATTTAATAGAAGCACCAATGTTAAAGCATCCAAATGGTGTAATGTTTTGGGGTGGAATTTGCACGAAAGGCTTAATACCTCACGATGGCCCTATTAATTTTACTGAATGGTTACGAGATCAACGTCAAAATGATAAACGTAAAAGAATGTACATGACTGGTGAATTGTATGCTAGATTTTTACGTGAAGAAGCCATTCCGGCAATTAATGAAGTGGTGCAAAATTTGGATGAAGTCATTTTCCAAGATGATCAAGACTCAAAACATAGAACGCAAGTAGCTATGGATGTTATTTATGATCTTTTTGAAGAAAGAATTGAAGCAAATGATGGAGATGCCAAATTTGCAGATGCATGGCCTATTGAAAACATTTGAGAAACTATGGAAGAGAAAATAAGAGGAAAAACATTTGAAAATCTTGGTGCATGAGTTGATTTTGTTAGTTCAGTATGGCAAAAAATTACACCTGCTCAATGTGAAGCAATGATAGACAATATTCTAAAACATCTCGCAAAAGTGATACAAGCTAATGGAAATCAAGTTTATGGACATTGATTCTAATAGATTTTGATTGTAATATTCAAGATAAAGAAACATTATGCTGATTAAAGCAATTTTGTTTTAATAAAGAAACGTTTTTATGATTTCTAAAGAGTCGTGGTTAATTTTTGTTTTTTGTGAAGCATATTTCTAAGCTTATAACTATCTTACTATATGCGTGAGGGGAGGTCAATCATAGACCATTTTGTAGAGCGTGTTTTACTGCATCTTTCCATCATAGAGACAAATTTTTAAACGTGCGTTTTAACATAGAAAAATGTATTACACAAATCGAGCCAGGACTTCTGGCCCACCCTTTATATATATATATAGTTATACATTACAACACAGGTTGTCATTTAGTGTTAAAATAACTGGTATAACATACCAGAGAATGAACAGCAGACAATTTGATAAAAAGAATTAATTTCCCAAATTTGGATTTGCACCGCGAAAACAAATTTTTGTCTAAATATCTAATAGAGAAGTTGCGTCTTATTTCAAATAATATCGTCTAATAGAGAACTCAATAAGCTTTCTTTTTCATATGAAATATATGGCTTCTGGTAACCTCTCTCTCGAAGTAAACTTTATTTTGTCAACTTATATTGACACTAATGAAAAATCGGTCACTCAGACAATATCATAAAAGTGTACATTTCGATCGTTAGAAAACATATAGAAAATTTCTTTTTTTGTACAGCAATAATACTTTATTCTTAAATGAAAAGATCTGGATTAGACGAATAAAAAAGGTAACCTATCTAGTTATAAGAAATTTTTTCTTAGTTCAAAAACGTTGCAGAAGAGTTTTCCAATGCCTTTTGTTCTAAGATTTTTGTAGCCTTCGGAAAACATCTCCAATTAAATTCTTTTATATATTTTTGCACTAGGCACTGCTCTTTCTAACAAAAAAAACCCGCTAACAAGGGAACATTCCCAGGTGCCCGACCGCTTTTGAGTCGGGATTTTGTGCATCTTGTAGGCCTTGATGAATTATGTCTACCATAGAAAAAGTTCGCGCCCATAGCTTGTTCCTAGTGAGATATCGAGGTTTTAATGAATTTTCTCTATAAGACGCCACATTTGAAGCAAGGTCATATTTTTGAATTTTCATCTGAAACTTTGTCCACATAATCACCTCAGTTAGACTAGTTTGCATAAAAAATTTCAGAACTTTTGGACAAAGTCTCTCCGAGATATGAAGCTTTCAACGTATAGGTCGTTTTCCATAGATAGCGTATAAAGCATACATTTTTTGAAAGCTTCATATCTCGGAGAGACTTTGTCCACAAGTTCTGAAATTTTTTATGCAAACTAGTCTAACTGAGGTGATTATGTGGACAAAGTTTCAGATGAAAATTCAAAAATATGACCTTGCTTCAAATGTGGCGTCTTATAGAGAAAATTCATTGAAACCTCGATATCTCGCTAGGAACAAGCTATGGGCGCGAACTTTTTCTATGGTAGACATAATTCATCAAGGCCTACAAGATGCGCAAAGTCCCAACTCAAAAGCGATCGGGCACCTGGGAATGTTCCCTTGTAAGTTTCTACGATATTGTATCGCAGAGTTATATGAAAAACAAAATTGATGCAAAAGTTTCGTTCTAACCGTTAGGTTTATTAACATTAGGGAACTTCGGGACCATCAGTTTTTAGCCCAGGTCCTGATAATTTTTTTTTTCAGGTCCCAATCTCGTTCCGGTTCTAATTTTAATTAAATAGTTTTTGTCACTGGTAGCCCTGATTTCGCTTCTGGTAAAAAAAAGTAGTTTTTTTAACTGATGACTAGTTCTTTGAATACTTGTGAAATTACCAATGAAGATTTAAAGAATCTGTAGGATGAGTGTATAATTATGTGAATATATTAGAACGAGTAAAATACAAAATCAATATTGTCTTACTTAAAATTTTCATTTGCTAGGTTCTTTTGTCTTTACAAAGTTTTCTCAAACTTCATAATTCTTAAACAGATACAACTTCTAAATGAGTGTCCTTCTCCCAATGTTTACTCAACAATCATTTCAATCGTAACAAATTAAGTAACTGCAGAACAGTTCCTAATTTTTTTACTTCGGATCTCCAAAATATTCCTTGGGTCGAAAATGGCAAATACTCAGATTTGTACTGTGTTCAGAATCTATTCCCTAGACTGAAAGGCTAGGGTCTAGAAACCGTAATTCACCTGTGTCTGTTTGTCCATCTGTATGTCTGTCTGTGTGTCTGTCTGTCTGTCTGTAACAAACGCTTGGCACAAATGACCATTTTTATGGCACAAATGACCATCTTTATGGCACAAATGACCATCTTTATGGCACAAATGACCATTTTTATGGCACAAATGACCATTTCCATGGCACAAATGGCCATTTTTATGGCAGAAATGACCATTTCTGTGGCACAAATGAGCATTTCTATGGCACAAATGACCATTTTTACGGAAGAAATGACCATTTTTATGGCACAAACGATCGTTGTTATGGCACAAACGACCATTTTTATGGCACAAATGACCATTTTTATGGCGCAAATGACCATTTTTATGGCATAAATGGCCATTTCTATGGCACAAATAACTATTGTTATGGCACCAACGACCATTTTTATGGCACCAATAACCATTTTTATGGCATAAATGGCCATTTCCATGGCACCAATGACCATTTTTATGGCGTAAATCGACATTTCTATGGCACAAATGACCATTTTTACGGCAGAAATGACCATTTCTATGGCACAAATGATCATTTGTATGGCACAAATGATCATTTGTACGGCACAAACGGCCATTTCTATGGCACAAACGATCATTTTTATGGCACAAATGGCCATTCCTATGGCATAAATGACCATTTCTATGGCAGAAACGACCATTGTTATGGTACAAATTACTATTTACATGGCACAAATTACGGTAAAAATACAACCACCTGCTTGTCATCATTCCGTCAGTCTAGGGCCCAGTGAATCGACATTCCATGTCGATGAACATTACTTGTATATATAATCTTCAGTATGTGTGTGTGTGTGTGTCTGTGTCTGTGTCTGTCTGTCTGTCTATCTGTCTATCTGTCTGTGCTGGGTCAAAAGTCAAAGGCTAAAGGTCAAATAAGCCTATAAGAGAAGTGGTTCCCAAGGCTATTATATGGGGACCATAGGTCCTCAAAGGCTATCCTATGGGGAATACCCATGGGTCCACAAAGGCTATCTTATGAGGGTACCCATAGGTCTAAAAGAGCTATCCTATAGGGGTACCCATGACTCCTCAAGATCTATCCTATGGGAGTACCTATAGATTCACAAGAGCTACCATGAGGAATATCCATGGGTCCTCAAGGACTATCCAGTGAGGGTACCTATAGATCCACAAGAGCTATCCTGCGGGGTAACTAGAGTTCCACAAAGGCTATCTAATGAGGATATCCATAGGCTCGGAAGAGAGTAAGGCAATAAGTGGATCAGGTAATAAGGGTGTTAGACAATAAAGGAGAAGACAAAAAGTCGCTAAGCAATAAGGGAATACAGCTAGAAGGTCTGCGAAGAATATAAGGTTATAATGCTATAATGCTGAAAGCTACACGGACTATAAAAATATTTGTGATATAAGAGTATAAGATCGTAGGGTTATCTATCTATGTATATAATATCGGGTGTCTTATGTCTGTTATCTGATGAAAAGTTAAATGTCTAAGATCATACGTTAAAGGAGAACACAGCCGTGCAGTATGCACGAGTTCTCGCTAGTCATAAATATAAGGATCGGTTCCTAGACTTTTACTCAGAATAATCTAATAAATATAGAACTTTATAGAAAACTTCTTGATCATAATATATGTAGGAACCATTTTAGCAAACCTATAAGTCCCGGTCCCGATCAATTAAAAGTTTGGTTCCGATTTCGGTTCCATCGGGACTGCTTTGCAGCTCCCTAATCGACATATACACGTTTAGGAAAGCTTCATCATATAGTGTAAAAAGAACTATTTGTTTTATTTTTATACGTTCATGGATATATGCACATTGATGTAAGTTTTATCTTCTCAGAAAAAGACTATTCTCTTTTTTATTCTACTTTCATCAATATATGTGACATTTAGAAAAGTTTCATCTAATTTAATGAAAACAACTATTAATTTTCTTAGTATAGGTTCATCGATGTACGCCCGTTCAGGCCAGTTTTATCTTTTCAGGTATAAAAAATTGTTTATTTTATTATTCAGGGTTCATCGATACAAGCACGTTTGCGTAAATTTCATCTGATTGAAGAAAACGAATTATTTAAGTTATTTATATAATAGGTTCACCTATCTATGGACTTGTAGGTAGATTTGATCTTATTTAATAAAAGAAATTATTTATTTCTTTATCACAGGTCCATTGGCATATGCACGTCTAGATAAGTTTGAACTTTTCTAATATAATATATTATTAGTGTTTTTTTTTAGGTTCATCGAGATATGTGCATTCAGATAAGTTTGATCTTATTATTTTAAAAAAGTTATTTAATTTTCTTATTTTGGATTCATCCATACATATAAGGTGCCGGCAATTCGAACTTCAAGTAAAATTTTTTTCGCATTTTTTTTACATCATCGGATAGAGCTTGAGCTGCTGATCACGAAAATCTACTTTTTAGCCTTAGCAAATGCTTTCTTCCGGTCGAAAAATACGAGATACTCGAAAGGTGTCGTTTTTCGAGAAAAACACATCCTTTTTCGAAATGTGCAAAATTTTCCATTTTATTCTTTTTTTTTGCTTCTGAGAATAATTTTTTCAGATTCAGCATCAAAAACTGAGTAGAAATAAATTGTTAGATCAACTATAGACCCAAG